GACATAAAATATGTTAGTAGCTGAATATAAATAAGTTTCAATTGGTTTTTTATATATTACTATGACATTATTGATAATTGAAAGAGTTAATTGATACTTCATATCTAATCACTTCTTCAATTGAATTAATCTACAGATTAAGTTCTATAAGATTAATAAAATATAAGTAACAAGTCTCCAGATGATAAAAAAGCTACTATTTATTCAAACTGAGATCTTTTTCTCTTATAATTCTAATCAGGCAAAGATCAAGACCAAGATATTTTTTTTATTTCAGTTAAACAATAAAACCAAATATTCTCTAGTTTATACTAAGCTTCAATTATTTGATTATAGTTGAGAATGCATTTTTTCAGAAGTTATTAAAGGATATTATAATCAACAAGAATCTCTATCACTTTTTAAAACTCTCCTATTATTACAAGATAAAAAAATTGTTGAAAAATCTAGTCTTCTGAATAATAGAAGATATACTGTATATCAGTAAAATTTCTTTGACAAGGTGTGGTTGCTAAAAGATTAATGAAAAAGCAGATACCTTAACTAAGAAAGCTCTAAAATTTCCACCAATTGAATGGAATGACCTCACTTCAACAAAATTATTATTGAAATCAAGTGACAAGGAATGACTCTAGATGATTCAATTAAGTAATTTATTAAGAATATTAATAATAAGACAACAATCTATCAGTGGATACAACAAAACAAAATGGAGAAAAAATAGAGACATCAGATTTCAGAACACTAGGCTTATATATGGAACCTATTATAGAAAAGAGTTAAAGATGGGCACATATGGGATACATCTTTTAAACAATTATAACAAAGAAGCTTTCTTATTAAACTGGTCAATAACAAGCTACCTACTTTAAGTAAATTGGCTATAAAAAGATTGGACCTATACAAACAAGTGAGATGTATTGTATGTAGCCAATAAAATAAAACTATAAAACACTTGGTAAAATGTTTAGCCTATAAGAATCAATCAAAAGAGACATAAAATAAAGAAGTAGATGGAATCATCATAAACTTTAAAGAGCTATTATAAGAAAAAAAGAGAGAGGCTAAAGAGAAAAATCTCAGGTTGATAAATCAAAAAAAAATAGGAGAGTTTAACAAGTGGATCTCTAAAGTAGTAAAACAGGCTTCTAAAACTAGTCAAGATATACTAAGTTTTTGTACTGGCCTTATAAGAACAGATATTATTCTAGAAATAGCAAACCTAAAATGCCAAAATAAATATATAGGAAGAATAGTAAGAAAGTGAATAATAAAAATACAAAGAAAAGTCTATAACCAAATCTGAAAAGAAGTCTGGAACAAGAAATATGAAAAGGTAATTGAATAGGAACAAATATAAGAAATTGATAGAGAGAATAAAACAAGAAGATCTTCATGTCTTTTAAGTCAAAAAACTATACTCCTGAAGAAAAGAAACCCATTATCAAAAGAAGAAAACCTCAAAGATGAAAGCCTCTGAGAAATTCTAACAAGAAGAGTGAAGTATGGAATGAAATGGTTGGGTTTTAAGTTCTGTCAGAATCTTGCAGAGTAATCTACAGTAGTGACTTGCAGGCAATGAAGTTAATAGTTGAAAGAGTCTCTACCTGAATTGTTAATGGAGTGATAAATTATTCCTGAAGTTGCACTTAGAGTTTTAATAATTCTTTAAAATAGAGACGAGTGAGTTAGGTAGAGACTTAGCTTTAGTAATACATTTTCAATATAAAGTATATATATATTTAATAAAGCACATATATCTAGTTTGACAGAGGGTTTTAAAAAAAATTAATTAATTCTTTATTTTATTTAAAATATAAGATAATTTGAAACAATAATTAGCTAATAGTATAATTTTATAAAATTTTATAAAATACAATATATGAATATATATAATAAGTAAAAAATTTTTTTATAAAAACAAAAATTTTAAATATTGATAGTTTTTATTTATCTTTTTCTTTTTTATCATTGCTTTTTTTCTAAAAATCTTGAAGATTTTATTTTATTTTATTTTTTTTAAAACCCGTGGTCAAGCCAGTATTATGTGCTTATTAATCATTAAGAAAACTGATTGAGATACATAGAACAATTTTATCATGGCTAAATTAAAAGACTCATACTGACAAGCTCATTAATGGCTTTCAATTCTCAAAAGAGCTTTAGCCTCTAAATGTAATCTTGGAGACAATATTTCACTTTGAACTAAGTTTTGGATAAAAACCCTCCTAACTTATCCATCATTGTCAGCAGGTTGTCATTACTTATTATCCTCCAAGGAACTGAATTTGAAAAACCATAAAAGGGGAAAAGAAAAAATAAAAGGAAAGGGGTATATCTAAAAATGTGCAAATGCACTACATGAAAATGAAAAGAAAAAAGAAAAAGTAAAATTGCTTCATATCCTTTAAAGAATCTCTGCTAGAAATTTCTTCTTATTAGGAGTCAATCCTTCTGGGATATCCTTCTTCTTTCTAACCATCTGAGAAACTTATCTATCTGTGCTCTTGATTATTTTCTTGTGACCGTCTGAGGTACTTATTGCCTACTCAGATCCAGTGTTTTGCTCAATGCTTCCTTTCTTTCAGTCTTGATTTTATATTCACCTGTGTAAAATAAAATAGCTAATAATGGACCCCAAATTCTTATGTAGCTTTTCCATCTTGTTGTGTAACTCTTGATATCTTTCAGCAACCTTGCCTAGTTAAAGGAATTTTACTGATGTATATTTTCTATTACCCAAAAAGTCAGATCCTCTATAAATCTTTTTGTCTTGTAATGGTGTGAGGGTTTAAATCAGTATCAGGATCCTTGTTGATTATAATATCATTATACAATATCTGGGGAAATGCATTCTCAATTCTAGAGAAGAATAGTGTTTTACATTTCTCTACTTTTCAGTTTTACAGCCTGACCAGGATAAGAAAATAATCTCCTTTATGTATTTTGTCTGACCGGGATTATAAGAAGTTGAAGGCCTCAGTTTAAACAAATAATCACCTTTTCACCATCTAAGGAATTTAGTGCCCATCTTAATGACTTCATGATTTCTTTGCTTCAGTTACACTTCATTTAAAGAAGTGGAGGAGTTTGTACTGGTGATTACTTTTCCTTTCACCAATGACATCATTAGAAATGTGATGTAACCAGTAGGAGCTTGTTTACATTCTACTACTAACATGTTTCATGTCGACCAATCACCTTTAGCAAAAACTATGTCGATTTTGTGTTACTCTGAAATTCAGGGTCAAGCTGGGATAGGTAAAATTCTCCCAAAACTTTAAAAAATGAGCGACTCTAAGAGAGTAGAAACAGTGGGGAGGAAAGTTTTATGGATTAGGCTTTTGTTTGTCCATCCATCCACTGCAAAAAACCTCTAGTTGCACTCATACTTCAGGAGATAGGCTTTCAATACTTCACTATTGGTTTTTCTTTCTTTTAGAACTTTCTTGCCATGGATAAAAAAGATGTTTTTTGACTTTTCTTGATTACCAGAAGTCAAGTTTTTGTTTGAAAAAGAACATAAAAAGAGATGGAAGTTGGGAGAGACTCTTGAAGTTATCCTTCAAGTTATCTTAAGAAAAGTAATAAGACTTTATTAGCAGAAAAGTATAAAACTTTTTGTGAACATCTTTTTTGTGTACTGTCAAAGGATCAGCAGAAAGAGTTTATTTTTTGACATAAATCTTGAAGGTTTTATTTTTTTATAAAGTTTAATTTTATAAATATATTTTCTAATATCTAATTTTATAATACTATATAAGCTAAATATATCTAATTTGGTACAGTTAATCTTGCCCAATAGTAAAATTTTGTAAAATCAATATAAAATAACTAAGTTTTTACTAAATTCAATACAAATCAATCTAAAATAGATATTTGTTCAAAAAAGATTTTTATTTAAGCAGAAAGTAACAGAACTTTATACTTGTATATAAACTTTTTTAAAAGTCAAAATTATCAAATGATTGACCTAATTTGATGCACTGCAAACAAATAAGGTAATTTTATATTTTAAGCCATTTCATATCCTTAATATATTGCTTTTTCACCCTTATATACTCAGTATTCTCATTTTTTTTTCTTTGCGCTTCTTATTTTTTAGCCTTTTCAGCTTCACGAACTAATTTTTTTTGAAGGATCGCTTCTTTTTTTTATCTTTTCTCACTGTCCTTTTGTTTTGTCTCCTCTTCTGCTTCCCTCAACAGTTGCAATGATTTTTCATGGGTGACTAACTGGGAAAAGAATATAGTTTTTTTTTTTCATTACAACAGCTGGGATCCTTCTTGTTCTTTATCAATTTCTGATTCTTCAGTTGCTCATGAACCATGATATAGAGGATACTTGAGTATTTGTTGCAAAGAACTTGTGCCAGGATTTTTAAAAGTTTCAAGCTCTTCTTCTAATTGTTTTACTTTTTGATTTAGTGACATGACTTCTGACATCATCTCTTCCTTTGTAGGATTTACTTGGATAAAGAGATTATAACTTGGAACCAATTTTGAAGAAGATTGTGAAAACGAAGCTGTTTGATTAAGGATTTTTAAAACATCAACTTGTTCCATTACTAACAAGGGATCTAAACAGTCAGGGCTAATAATGCTGGGATTAAAAGGTCAAATTTCCATAGTTTTGAAGGCATTACATATTGTGATAGGTGTATAGCTTGCAAGATAGGATAGTTCTAGAACTTGAGTGAACGTATGTTTTGTCACATATTTATCATTGTTATTAATTCTAAACTTATTACACTCCTTAGTATATGCTTTTTTCAATATAGCAAATGGCAATTTGGTTGGCTGTAAAATATGAGTAGTGTGAGAAGGGAGGGTATAAAGAAGAATATTGTTTTCAAAGCAAAAGTTAGTACTAGTATAGTTAACATGACTTTTGTGACTATCCATGATTAGCAAAACAGGATGAATAGGAGGAATTGAATTAATAAAATGTTTAATATATTTTTGAAATAAGCTTTTCTGCATATAACCTGTTTTAGTAAATCACATGACAGAACCAGCAGGTGTGCCATTTAGAAGATCTGGGATCATTCGCTTTTCCTTATAGATAATCAATAGTAGAATGTAAGTTCCAGCGGTTGAGATCATAGGACATATGGAAATATATTCATGAGAGTTTTTGTATGAAACCCGATGGACTTGATGAGCACTCTTTTTAGTCATGACCTTTTGAAGTCGAAGTTCGATAACAAAGCCTGTTTCATCCTAAAAAGAAAAAAAAGTCATGAATAAAAAATACAATTCTTGCAAAAAAAAAAAAAAAGTAGTACCATATTCCAGATTTTGTTGGGGGTAAGTGAATACTCTTGAATAATTTTTTTAAGCTTATCAAAGTGATTATTAATAATAATAGGGTTTTCTTTTTGTGCGCAGGCTTCGTTTAAGGCTTGTGGTATGTAAAATGACAGTTCTGGATAGTCCTTCATAAAGCGTTGCCACCATTTTTGCCCTGGACCATTTTCATTAAAAGGATTGGGTCGCTCACTTTGACTAACAATTTCCACTATGCACTGGTTTATGCCAGACCTGGTTAATCCAAAGTCAAGTCTCTGCATATTCAAACAGTAATCAATCAGCTGTCTTTTTTTATAATTTGTCAAAATTTTAATATGGCCTGGGTGAGGAAAGGAACTATTATTATTGATAACATGTCTGAGGGTGGTTTCTGAAAGACCATAGTCTTTCGCAATACTTCTAGTACTTGGAATTCGATCAGTTGAAGAGTTTTTAATAGCCTTAAGGGTATTATCAATGGCAGTATATCAGATATTATAATTACTATATTTTGACATAGTTAAAATAGAATAGGAATCGTTAGAGCATTCGAAACAATCTCGTATCAATTTATAATCTGTGATATATGATCAAGTGATTTGATTGGTCAAATATGTGTCATGACAGACAAGAAAAACCCAATATAGAGTCACCATAAACATGGATCACAAGATATCAGCAGTGCTTTAAATTAGGCACTGTGTCAAATTAGGCATACTTACCTTATCTTATAAAATTTATTAAATTTAGATTTTTAAAAAATATATATTTTTTCTATAATATATAAAATATTTCAAGTTTTTTTCTTTTTAAAAAAATTTATAATCATTTTTATGATATATTAGAGTTAAGAATATTTACTATTTTTGTAAATTTTTGAATTAAATATATTAAAATAAATATATTAATGGTTAAATTAATCTTTAATATACTATTAACTTAAACTATTAATATTTTTTCAAGTAAAAAATATTTGAAACTTTTTTTTTTTTTGATCTTTAATAATATTAAAATTAATATTAAACTAAAATTACTTTTTTTCAAAATTTTTAATATTGTATTAAAATTAATATTATATTTTTAAACTAAAGTTTTATTTTTTAGGTTAAAGTTTTTTTTAATTTTTTAAGTATATTTAGAGAATTTAATAATATATATTTTTTTAACTTACTGTCAGATTAGTTATATATGCTTTATTAAATATAATGTAGACTATATTATTTATAATGTCATTAAAGCTAAAACACTAACTAACTTATTCATCTTAATTTTTTATTAAACTCTAAGTGTAACTTTGGAAGTAATTTGTTGCTCCATTTATAGTTTGAGTGAATACCCTTTTACTATGAACATTATTGTCTACAGTTCACTATTGCAGATCATTGGCCAAAGATCTGACTAAGCCTAAAACTCAATCATTTCATATCATTTTTAACTTCTATTATTATTATCCTTGTTAAACCTTTTCCTAAGTATTCTTCTTCTATTTTCTTTCTTTCTCCTCTTGACCTTCTTATTTTTCTTGTTGAATAAGACTTTGTGAGCCTTCTTATTTTATCTTTTCAAAAAATTCCTTAAGCTTTTTTCTATTCTATTACTTATTCACATTGTTTATTCCACACTTCTTTCCTGAAATAATTCAAAATCTTCTTTTGATAACAGAGTATCCATTTTCTAGCTATTGTTCCTATTTTTTTTTCTTTATATTTGAGTTCTCCTACTTCTCTTAATAGATTTATTTTAATTAATTCTGAGAAAAAACTGATAGAATCTTGGCTATTTTTGAATACTCTTTTTTTAAGCTTTAATGACCATGCTTCTATTTCTCTTATTTCTTTTTTATCTACTATCAGGATGTTACTGTATTCTTTTTGAGCTTGGTCTTTTTGCTTCTGTTTCTCTTTCTTAAATTCTTGATATATTATCTCTACTTTTTTTAACCAGACTTTCTTCATTATATTTTTATATCTTGAGTATTACAAAAAATATTCTATTGTTTCCTCTATTCTTCATATATCAAACAGTCCTCTTTATGATATAGGTCTAGTTTTTTATCGCTAGTTTAGTTATTATCAGTAATTCATTGTTGATTAACTTCACCAGAAAACTTTTCCACTATAAGCTTTTAAAAGAGGTATCCCACATATATTCTTTTTTTAGTTTTTTCTATACTATGTCTCATGAATAGTTCTGTTGATTTTCTATTTGAAGGTTCCATTTGTCCATAATTTGGTTTTATTGTGACTAGCAGTATGTTATTATTTTATTATTTATTCTTTTTATAAATTGCCTTATGGAACTATCCAGTGTTATATCTGACCATTCCACTTCTATAATGATTTTATCAGATTTAAGGTCCTTCTACTGGATTATTGGGAGGTTTAATGCTTCTTTAGCCAACTTGTCTACTAGGTTATTTTCCTTGATGTTAGTATGCACCTTAACTTTAATCAACTTCAATTTTATGTTTTTTGTTTTGATGATATTTAGCATTCTTGCTCAAAGGGATCAGTTTTTTTCTTTAAGCCATCTTCTATAAGTTATTTTTGAATCATTTTTTTTTCAACTTGTTCCATTTAGATATACATGTTTGACTATCTATATAGATTTCAACTGAACTTTTTACTGGTATTACCAATAGAATTGTGACTATTTCTGCTAGTTCTGCTCTTGTGGATAATAGCCAATTTTGCATACCTGTCTAGAAACTATTCCCTAGATCTTTATCACTTATTTGAATCTATACCATTATTATTCTAGCTATTTCTTTTCTATGATCTATTAGAAATCTGTCCAAGTAAAACTAGAATTTTTCTTTTTTTTTCTTAAAATTTTTTTTAAACAGTCTTGATAAATTTCTTCTTGAATGTATTTTTCAATAATCCTTTTTTTCCATCATTCAATTATTACCTGTGATATTTGGTTTTTATTCTCTTAAGATATTATAGTCACTAGATTTTGTTTACTATTTTACTTTCCAGTATTTCTTTTTTTATTAGAATCTTTAGTTCTTTGGCTATTCTTGTTGATTTGAATTTGTTCAAGAAAGTAATCTTATGAAGCTTATCTCTATTCTTATTTATAATACAAGCAACATTAATAAGTATGCTATTTGTATATCCTCTATATTGAGACAAAGTTGTTTCCTGGTTTTCCACTTGTTCTTTATAGTTGAAGTGTACCAGTTTTTTTTTTGATCTTAAAACTTTCCCCTAGATAAATATCACTGGAATTTTGTTCAAAATACAGTATATTAGATTTTTTGTCTTTTGTTCCTACTTAAGTTGAGTTTTGGATAGTCAAGTTCCTATAAGATATTATTATCATACTATTTTTTTATAATTTCTTCTATTGTTTTTTGTAGTAATAAGTATAACAATCTGCTATGCCAATTTGGAATTAATCCTTTACTTGTTCCTTGGAGTAGTTGAATCAATCTCCACTCTTTTAGTTTCATGGTTTTCTTCTCTATAATTTGATTTAAGTACATTAGTCTATTATTATATAGAGATGGAATAGCTTTTTTATATTCTTCTTTCAATAGATATTTCTGAATTGAGTTGTTGCCTTTTTTCTATTCAAAAGTTTTATCTCATTTCTAGCTTTGGAAAGCTATATTTAAATCCTTTGCAATTTTGAGTATTTGTACTGAAAAGTTATTCTTGTCTATTATTCAATCTAGTCTTTTACAGTTGAGCAAGTTTTGGTGTTTCTAGTATTTTAATTGTACCTGTTTAAGCCTAATAATTGTTATGAGTCCTACTGGACCTTTATTGTTTAGTCTATTACAAAGACCTATAACTTGTTTTTCTCTTTGTAACATTAATATGCTTTTTAAACTATAGATTTTAGGATAGCATACTATATTATTAGATATCAATTTGTATAATACACTTTTGGTCTTAAATAGTTTTCAGAATCTGGTTGTTAGGTCATTGTATGTTTTCAGTAATAATATACTATGCTACATTTGAAATTCTATTCTTGAAATTAGGATTCTATTTAAAATATAAAGGGCTTGTTTATCTGTTACTTTTTTCTTTTTCAGTATTCTAGTTATCAAATCAATTTTTCTGTGAATTTTCTCCATTATTTCTACTGAAGTTTTTTGGTTTTCTATTCATATACCTAGAAATCTGATATATTTATTTCTATCTAACTCTTTTACCTCTTCTTTGTTTATTCTGGCTTTGACTCTTTTAGAATATTGACTAGAATTGTTAATAATAATGAGTACTGATTTACTACTATTAATTTGAGAGTCATTGGCTTTGTAAAATATTCTTGCTATTTCTAAGATTTGTTTTATATTCTCTTTTGATTTGGCTATCCATGTAGTATTATCAATAAAAGCTATTGCTGCATGTCAGGATTCTAGCTTATGTACTTTCTTTTTATCAAAATTTGGGCTCTATTTGACTGTTATTATATATCCTTTATCTTTGTTATTTTGAATTTTGCATAATAAAGGATTATAAAATATTTTTCATAATAGTGATGAAACAGTTTTCTCTTAATCTAAATTATCTTCTACTACTATTGATTCTGTTAGGTCATTTTTATATAGTATCTTGAATTCTTTATTTGCAAAAAGGTCTATAATAATTTTAATGAATTCTGCCAAAATTTTGATTCTTTCCATTGCCTTTTGTAACATATCTAAACTTATAGTATCATATACTTTGGTTGTATCTTGGAAGAGTATCTACAATTTTTTTTTATTGTCTCTAGCTTTTTCACAAATATTATTTAATAATTGAATAGGTTCTGCTATACTTTTTTCAGATAGACCTGTGAAGTTTGGATCCTTCAGAACATTATATATTTTGCAAATAATAACTTAGTTTGTTGGTAAGAATTTTTGTAAAACATTTTTGAATAACTTATAGAAGAACAATTAACCTCATGTTTTGTAATTTACCATCTCATGTTTTTGGCTTGATGATTGGATAAATATGGATTTGTTTTTATCTGTTAGGGGTGATTTTAATTTTTAAAAACTTGTTCAATATCTTTTGAAGATATTCTTTACCTTGGATGCTTAGTTTCTTAAGTATCTCATAATATATTTGTGATCTATCAGGAGCTTTATTGTTTGATAATGTTTGTAGAGTTTGTTAGAGTTCTTTTTGAAATATAGAAGTTAAGAGTCCTTTATACTATGTGTGATTAATGTCTATTCTAGATTCATACTTCTTTTTCCAGTCCTCAGTCAAATGGTCAAAATTAGTACTTTATTTTTTAAAGGCTTCTTTATAATATTTACAAAGTTCTCTTTTTA